CAGAGCAATTACAGTTATTAAAAAAAGTTATTGCTAATCGTTATAAAGCATCTCTTTCACCTTCATTTATGTGTTTGTGTTTTTAATCATCCATTTATTTCAAATTAATATTTTATATATTTTCCTTATTGAAAGAAATAGCTAAACAGGTAAAAATAACAGCATATCATAGAGCAAGTGCCTCTTTAAATTAAAAGTAAATTTTTTATAATAAAAGTACTTATTTATTATGAAATTTTAATTATATAAAAATGATTAATAAGTAAAGGATTAGTGAACATTGAATTCAATTATATTTGTTAACTATCTGACGACAGAAGAATCTAATTGTTGACTATTGGGCTAAAGTCTGAAAGAAAAATAAAAAAAGTTATAATTATAAATCTTATTATCCACAGTTAATAAATTCAGACAAACCGAACTGTGATTCTTGTTATGAGAATAATATAGTTGTAGTGTGAACTCAAATAATGACGGCGAAGCCACTAAACCCAAAATCAACCTAATTTCAAGAACCAAAATTTCCATATCCAATTTTTACTCCCAATTCCTCTTCAATATTTCACTCCCCACTTCTACGTAAGTTTCTCTTCTCTTTCTCGGTTTCTTTTCAGCGATCCTTCTCTACACACCTTCAATGTTCGCTTTTTTCATTGCATATTCCAAATCCGCAGAATTTCGGGGAACATTGAATTGAATCTCTTTGTTTTGATTAATTGATGTTTCTGCAGGTTTTTAACGGGAAGGGGATGGGGTTGTGATTTGTAATTGAAGAAGGGGTGAGGAGGGAGGACACGGCCACAATGCGGTGGTTTCCGTTGAGTACAACTTCAAACTCGGAACAAGAACGGGGTAGAGAGAATAATACTGCTCGTACTTCGGTGTATCTCAATGTATATGATCTTACTCCCATAAACAATTATCTTTATATGCTTGGCCTTGGAATATTTCATTCGGGTATACAAGGTTTGTGTCTGTTTTCCTTATATTTCCTTTTCTGTTCTTTTTTCCTTTATATGGATCTTTTTTCTGTTATTTTTCTTGTCTATGCTTATTTTGGGGCGCCCCCGGATATTGCAAATTTTAGCTCATATGAGATTACATGTCACCATTGGACTCAGTTGAAAACCAAAGTTTGAGAAATATTATTTAGCATGAGATCTTTTTTGAGGGCTTCTTTCAAAGTCTTTATTGGTGTCCCTTCTTCTTTCTTCACAGTTAAGGAGAAGGGTTCTGTTAGGCCTTCGGCGAGAAACGTAAAATTTGCCCATGTTCCGATCATGAATTTACTGTTTATGATTGCTAGCAATGTGTGCTTATTAAAAGAGGAGAAATAAAGGGTAATTTTGAACGAAGTTGTTATATAATAAATGAATTTGCTGTGTGCGTTGTACCTGAAACGCGGCAGGCGTTAGAGAATACGTTATTAGCCTGCATTGTGTGTATTATTCTACGATTTGGAACGCATGATGTACAAGCAGCCGTTAGTTTGGCTCCTTAAAATTTTTTACTGAATAATTGGTGTCTTTTGTTCTCTTTCTGTCTTTATTCCTCTCTGATTTTTCGTCCTTGAATTTTCAACCATTTCTCTCTCTCCTCCACACCTAGTTTTATTTTGGGATTTTTTTTACGTACTTAAAGTGATGAATTTATGAACCATAGGGTGAATTTTGACATTTTTGACATGCAAATTTAAGCTTTTTATTGAATATTGATGTATGTGCCATTTTCGATAAGGTCATCATGCTAAAAGCGTAACTTCGTTATGTATATAGTAGTCGATGGTTTCACAAATGTGTAATTTAACAGTTTAAAGGAGGACAAGACTAAGTGACTTTACCTTCCTTTCTTTTTATTTCTGTACATGTTTGATTGCTTCAGTTGTTTAGAACAGCTACTATTGCTTATATCTAAAATGTGCTTTTTGATACTGTGAACAAACTTGATTACCTGTTCCATTTTGAATTTAGTTAGTAAGCTGACCCTGAAAAAATTTTGGGCAAGGAGCTTGGATGTACATGAATATTTGTCCTGGTTATTTTTCATTTAGTTCCATTTTTGTTGTTAAATACCATCTTGCAACAACTTTAAGCTTATTTTTTTCATGAACAGTGCATGATATTGAATATGGTTTTGGAGCACATGAATATCCAAGTAGTGGTGTGTTTGAAGTGGAGCCTAGAAGCTGCCCAGGCTTCATCTTCAGACGATCAGTTTTGTTGGGAAGCACTGATATGTCTAATTCAGAATTTCGATCTTTCATAGAGCGCCTTTCAGCAAAATATCATGGAGACACTTATCATCTTATTGCAAAAAACTGCAACCATTTTACAGATGAAGTTTGCCAGCATCTAACGGGAAGTCCTATTCCCGGATGGGTAAATCGAATGGCTCGTGTAGGTGAGCATCTTTCTGCTTTCTTATTCTTGTTGTAAATCACAATTTGATTTGCATTAATAATGCACATGTGTAGCATACGTTAGTATAGCACCTTCCATTTGCCTCTTCTATTTTGCTTTAAGAAGATACGGTTCAGGTTGCACAGATGTGAATTTCACATTCTGCTGAAATGGGTTATAAGAGGACAAGGGAAACAAGCATGCTTACATTGGGTTTCATTTTATGAATCTGCTGATTATGGAGACTAGTTTTGTTCTCATCTAATCAATGTGTGGTTTAATCTTTTAGGTTCTTTCTGCAATTGTCTTCTGCCAGAAAGCCTCCAGGCTGCCGCAGTTAGACATCATCCAGAACGTCTTACATTTTCTGGTAAGATGCTAGGATTATAATGGTCCAAATTGATTCGCATTTTATGGTTTTCTAAAAGCTAAAGTTAGCTTATATATTAGTTATAAACAAAAACTTGGAGAAGTTATGCGAGAACATAAATTAACTTACTTTCTAATTAAAATATATGACAGTTTCTACAAATTAGTTTATGCTTACCTTGTGTTTGGATGAGGTAATTCAAGAGAATAATTCATTTATTTGGTGAATTTAAAACTCCTTGGACTAAATTTCAATTTTAGCTTATGAAGAAGGTGATTTCAATTTTGTTTTCCTAGAAGTACTTATGAAGAAACTAGTCCAAATAGATCCTATGTTTCATTTCATCTTGTTTTATTGGCTATCCATGAAAGAGTATCTGTTACACATGGGCGCACAGAAAGCATAAGCGTGGCCCGAAGAACCTTAAGGACTGCAGGGCAATTGCCCCGACAAGATCTTTTTTTACTTGAACATATTTAATAATTTTTTTGCCCCAAATAAAAGAATAGGTGTTTCTCCCATGAGATATTTTTTTAAATAAATGTAGAAATGAAAAGAAATAAAAGAGAATAAATTGATGCTAATTTTATTGCTTAATAATATTGTTGCTGCTTGCTGCTATTCCTTGGGGAAAAAATTATCATTCCTCATCTCTATTTTGCATATTTCCTTTTCGCTGGAGACTAGTCTCTCAATATTTTAATAATATTGACAATAAAATCGTACAATATTCTCAAGATATGGAAGTATGTAGAGGGCAATTATAATTTTTAAGAGATTAGGTATTTTGGATTTTTTTATCATTATATTATTCATTTTGTAAAAGCATTATTTGACGAAAATATTATTGATTAATCTCTTGTCCTCACTATTTTCTTTTCTTAATCCATCACTGTATGTAAGCCTAGTATGCATTCTTATATGAAGTCCATTTTAATACTTGTGTAAAAAAGGTTGAAGAAAGTATGCACTTCATCATCAACCAAGAAGTAAACGTGGCTTTATTTCTTCCCTTGCGAAAATATCCATGGACACATGTTTGACATTTTAAAACACAATGATTTATTATTGAAGGATTTGCTTTTGAATTCCT